GCGGCCGTGCACCGGTCCACGCCCTGCCCCGCCGCGCTACGGCGCCGCGCTCCGTTTCTGGACAGTTATTGTTATTATCTCTATGATCTCGCTAGCCTTCTCCCCCTCCCCCCCCTCTCTCTCCCTCCCACACGCTAGCCCTGTCTTCCTGGAAACCCATCCGGTGTGTCTAGGACTCTTCACTCGAGGCCTCTCCGCCGGACGGGATCCGCTCTTCAATGCGTGGTCAAACACTGCCGCGAGGGCCACTCTTCACTTTGAACTTGTGCGACGTTCCCGCCGCAACATACGAACTCGTTGTTCTGCTTGTTCAAACACATGTGATTGTTGAGGGTCCGGTCAAAGCGACATCGTTATGACGCCGATGTGTACATGTGTATCGACGTTTTTTGACCTGTTTTCGATATTGGTCTGGAGGCTTCTTTTCCGCCTTACTACACAGTGCGTTCCTTATTTGAGCCTTTCGGTCGGAGGAAGAATAGGAGGATGGGAAGGGGGGGGGGGGGAGTCGAGGGCGCACATGTGTGAGGCCGCACATGTATCTGTTGTGCCCCTCCCCTCCCCGAAGCCGAACTGTTGCCAAGGGTTTGGGCGTCAGCCAAAGCCTGTAGTACGCGTGAGCAGCTGCGGGCAAGGCGGGTCTACCTCCTCCCCTGGTCAAGAGACAGTTGTAGGACAACAGTTGTGCCCCGAGTCAGAGAAAGAGAGCGATAGAGGGAGAGGGATTGCGAGCGCGTGTGTGTTTGTGTGTGTGTGTGTGAGCTGCTGTGTGTTGTTGCCGAGCCGCGAGGAGGCTCCCGGTGCGAGCTGCGAGCGGTGGTGACAGCAGCCGGTCGGCGCTTCCCGATCCCCGTCTCCCCGTCCCTCGTCGGGTCACCGGTCGCCGCGCCCCACCTCGCCCCACCTCGCCCCGCCCTGCCCCGCCTCGCCCCGCCGCGCCCCGTCAACCCGCGACCCGGCCGCGACACTCACCCGCATGACGCGAGCCGATTCACCTTCGCGCGTGTGACGTGTCTATGCCGCTCGCGGGTCGCGGGTGGGGATAAAGAACCAGAGAGAGAGAGAGAGAGAGAGAGGAAAGTCAGAGAGGCAGAGAAAGGGAGAGGGAGAGAGATGAGGATGAGGGAGAGGAGGAGGCAGATGTCGAGAGTTAGAGGTCGAGCAGGGGTATTTCGCTCATACTCGTCGTGATGAGTTTGTGCCATGCCGGCCCTCCCAAAAAATATTTTGAACAAGACGAACACCGACAAAATTGAAACCAAATGGAGGGGGGGGGGGTGCTGCAAGCTTTAGACTAGACAAACTCTTAAGCCACGTATGGAGAACATCTGGATCTAGTTGAGTAGCGCGGGGAGCCGTGGTGCCGGCAGGCCGGCGGCTGCTTTGCGGTTCGGTCCGCAGCGCGGTGACCTTGGTGCGGCGTTGGCCCACGGGCCCATGTGGTCGGGTCAGTCCGGTGGTGGCGTCGAACCATGGGTGGTGCCCGCCGTGCGAGTGAGTGAGACGCGTGTGCAGACAGTGCCCGCGGTAGCGTCGTGTGATAGAGGGAGCGAGACAGCGACACTACATTCTGACCATCGTCGATCAGAAAAAATTGACTGGCGAACGTTTCTGTTGTACAACTTTATGCTTAAACCGGCATACTTTTGACTTTATTCCAGTACCATAGCTACTATAGAAGTAAGGTTTTGAGTTGTGTGGCACTTTTATATTATACGGCACTTAAACTTAGGCCTATAATAGATTTTTACCTGACGCTAAATGATAAAGCTACCCTACCAGAAAAACAAATTTTGTAACGAGGATACATTTGCCACGACCCTGAAAAACAGCTTTACTTTCGCAAACAGCACATACCAGGTGGCTGATTAACCCGAGGGGGCCGCCACTCCTGAAATCATGTGTACGCCCTCCCTGAAATCCTCCCGAAATCATTTGAAATCCACCTGCAATCATGAAATCATGCGTAATCTGCCAGCAAATGTTAGTCTGAAATCCTTAGAAGGTCATGTAAAAACCGCCGAAATCACGTAAAATCCGCCGGAATCTTGTGAAATCCGCCGAAATCCGGTAAAATCCGCTGAAATCATCTGTAATCCTTCAAATCAGACATAATCTGCCGGCAGGTTTTAGTGTGAAATCTTCTAAAATAATATGCGAAATCCGTGAAATCATGTGAAATCACGCAATCTTTGCAATCATGTGTACATCCAAAGAGAGAGTGGTGGCCCCCTCGGATTAACCCCGCGCACTTCTGTAGTTAGACTGTACCGCACGGACGAGTGCGAGCGGGTTGCCTACTCGCCCGGCCCGTAAGGCGCCGTAGACAGGGGCGATAGGCAAGCCCGCCCGCACTCGTGCGTGCGGTACAGTCTAGCTACAGAAGTGCGCGGGGTTAATCAGCCACCTGGCATGTGCTTCGAAAAACACCGTCCGTGCTGCTTTGCCCTGGGCTACATAATATAGGAGGAAAACGGGGGAGGGGAGGGCGCACTTTACCTCCTGGTAGAGACAGTCTTGGGGCCTGCCTACAAAGTACCACCCCTCCCCTTTTAAAAACGCCGTACTTTGTGTGCGAGCCCGCCGCACATACATACTGTGGAGTTCAGTGCCACCGGGCGCCACACGGCCGGCACCGGCCTGTGGGTGAGCGGCGTGGTGCCCGGTGGTAGTGGGGCAGACCGCGCTACCGGCGACTGCGCTTGCGGGGCTTCGGCCGTGTCCGCGAGCTGAAGACGCAGCGAGTGGCGGCAAAATATGGATCTCTGCTGTTTGTCGTTGTTATTATTTTTCTCAGTCGACGCAATACACCCACGAACACGTATTGAGGGCAATTTGAACACGAAAACACAAGAAATAAAATTTTAAAAATTACTTGAAATTTTCCCTTGTGGACAGTGATGCTGCGTTTAACATTTCGGCTTTTTAGTTGTTGTTTTATTTGTTTTTGTGTTTTTTGACAGTGATTCGTTTATTGCGGACCGGTTATCCGTTTACCACCCCCCACCCCCTATCCCCTCCAACCCCACACGACGTGGGCGCCACTTTCGGCTGCTTGCTGCGCTTCTTGTCCTGTAATTTGGACGCTTTATCACTGCCCTGCCCCGACCCCCGGCGACCCCCGTCCCCACCCCCTCTGATTGGCTGTTCGCGTGCATGGACCCCCCGATCCCCTACCCGTCACCCTACCCGTCACCCTCCCCGTCACACCCTCCCCGTCCCTGCCCTCTGCGGCCAACCACGCCACTTACGGTATGTTCAAAACATTTTCGAGTCGCACGGGCGGAAATAGGAAGGCGGGAGGAGCCGGTACGTACGTACGCGACGTGGCGAGGTTTTTAAACACCAGCTGGGAGGGGGGAGAAAACGGAAAAGGGAGAGAGGGGGAAAGGGGG